CATTGAGAGCTCATAAACCTGCATCCCAGTATTAGTGCTCTCGTCTGTGGCTAGGGCACAGTCTTTCACATGATGTTCACCTCCCGCACCTTACGCTCACTTTGGACTCAAGGTAAGTGCACATCCATGTCGTACAGACCATTATAGGTGGTTCCGACTTGTAGGTGACCCGCGATTATTTGCACAGTCTTCATGTGATCGTAGCACTTAAGCATACTTATATACACCTAGTCCTATCATATAGACCACTAGAGGTGGTTCCGACTCGTGTGCAGGCATGTTTGATGAGCTATAGATTAAGTCGTACATGTCACTATAGGTGACTCCCGACTTATATGCTAGTGTTGATTGATGAGATATGGATAAGTCGTACAGGTCACTATAGGTGACTCCAACTTATGTGCTAGCATTGATTGATGAGATATGGGTGAGTCGTATAGATCACTACAGGTGACTCCGACTTACGTGCTAGCATGAGTTATTAAGCACCTGATTATTTATATTACTGATGGGATGCTGTATTGTGGTATACTTTTGGATTTACTTCACCTGTTTTAATTATTTCATTATGTTGAGTTGTTGAGCATGGTATACATATGATGTTGTTATTCCGAGCATTACTTCAATGTAGATATGTATTCTATTTTCTGCGAAATTATACAGGTGTTACAGCGAGGGGTTATTACTTTTAATAAGTGAATGATTTTTTTTAAAAGCTTCGTTTTCGCCCACTCACATTTTCTATTTTTGTACCCCTCCAGGTCCTAGTAGTAAAGTTTCCGTATCGGCAAGGATTCGTGGCACTTCCTAGTACATGTGGCTTCTTATGATGGTATAATCGTTATCATACCTTATTGTATTCTACTCATTCTCTGTATCACGTGTGTATGGGTCCATATCTGCTCACCCCGCACTCGTGTATTTAGGCCCTTTTAGCTTTAAATTTATTCGTATTTTACACATTATCACACTTTCTAGCTTTGTCACCTTCCAGGTATCGGTCAGCACACCTTGATTCGGAGTCCTAGTGGACATTCCGGGTCAGGGTGTGTCAATTATACTATTCTTCAATTTAAGAAATAGTGATAGTACTACTGTTCAGTTTGAGAAATAGTAATAGTATTACTGTTCAATTTAAGAAATAGTGAAATAGTGATAGTATTAGTGTTCACTGTTAAGTTTAAGAAATAATGATAGTACTATTATTCAATTTAAAAAATAGTCAGTGTTTAGTTAAAAAAATAATAATAGTACTAGTGTTCAGTTTAAGAAATAGTTAATGTTCAGTTCTAAATATAGTCAGTTTTATGTTTTTTTTTAATTGTAATATTATTACTTAGTTTGATATAAATGATGCATGGTTGTATTATTTAACTTAGATAGTATGGCACAAACTCAAAAGATTTTCCCAAACTAAATTTAGAATCACCATTTTCAAAATTAAAGTAAGCACTGTTTCTAAAACTCAATAATAAAGGTTTTTCTTCATATTTTAGGATTGTAATATTATTAACTAGTTTCTTCTAAATTATGCATGGTTGCATTATTTAATTTTTTTTTTCCTTAAGTTTGTTGATAACAATTTTATTTATTTTTTGGTATACGATTAACAAACCATGTTAGTATGTCTTGTAAAAGATGCGATAATACACCAAATGAAATACGTAATAGAGTGAAAAATAATAATAAAAAGGTGAGTCCACATATATAAGGTTCATGCACTAATTTTTGAATTTTATACAAAATAAAAGAAAAAACACAAAACAAACAAGAAGTGGGTTGTGTAGAGAGAGAAGAAGTGATGTGAGGGAGAGGGATGTGGGGACGGAGACCACCTAAAAACAATGGCACATAGAATAAAAAGAAAATAGAAAAAAAAAATCTGTTTGTTTATAAATTAGGGATTAGGTGACATACTCCGACCGGAATGTCCACTAAGATTCCGAGTTGAGCTGTGCTGACCGACACCTAGGAGGTGACGAAGCCATAAAGTATAGTGATATGGAAAATGTGAATAAATTTGAACCAAAAAGTGCCTAAAAATCAGAGTGCACTATGAGCGGAAATGAACTCATTTCACACACGACGTCAGAGCATAAGTAAAGTAGTAGTGTGGGTAAGGATCATACCTTCAGAAGTAGCCACCTAAACTGAGACTTGCCAAGAATCCTCGTCGATACGAACTTTCAGTAGCTAAAACCTGGAGGGGCATAAAACAGAAAATGTGAGTGGGCAAAGATAAAGTTTTTGAAAACACATTTCTCCTTTTAAACATAATAACCCCTCACCATAAAACCCGTATAATTTCCTAGAAAATAGTAATACATACCTATGTAGAAATCATGCTCGAGAGTAGTGAAAGCAATTTTATGCCATGTCAAGTATCTTAGCAATAAAATAAGTAAGCCAGGTGAAATAAATCAATGTAACTGATATGTCAGCTGGAATCACCTAAAGTGACCTGTACGGCTAAGCCTATAGCTCATCTATTAATTCCTGCACACGAGTCGGAACTACCTATTGTGGTCTGTACGACAGATTGGTTGTAAAGAAGTACGCTTAAGTGCTACAATCATGTGAAGGCTATGCGACGAATCGCAGGTCACCTACGAGTTGGAACCACCTAATGTGGTATGTACGACAGGCTGCCACTTGCCTTGGATCTAAGGTGAGCATGCGGTGCAGGAGGTGAACAATCATGTGAAGGCTAGGCCTTAACCTCGGGCGAAGCACTAACACCGAGATGTAGGACAATGAGCTTTACGTGCATCAACTCATAACCAACTACCATGCAACCATACCATCAATATGTACTCACCTGAACTTACCTGGGCCTCTGTAACATCATGCAATATTATGCAAAGCTATACTAATACATATGCTAAAACGTAAAGCAAATATGACATGGCATTTTAAACGAAATTCCATTTAAAATAGTTTCTGGGAAACGTGTGTGTGTGTATATATATATATATATATTGTATGATGCTTTGTATATATGTATGTATGTATGTATGTATGTATGTATGTATGTATGTGTGTGTGTGTGTGTATATATATATAGAAAAACAAAAGCCCACTCACCTAAGGTCCGCTCTACACTCCCTAGCACGAATATCGAAATGTCTCGAACGATCGTCGCCTAGAACAAATATCAAACCACGTCTCAGAATCCTTACTGATAGAACACGTAATTTACATAAAACACATCTCCAAGGACATTCTAGAATGATTTGAGACCCATTGACCAAAAGTCAAAACAGATAAAACAAACACTTCCGGGGCAGCCCATCTTTATTAATAAAGCCGAGAGGGCCTGGCTCCCCAAAAGTGTTGCCCTGTGTGATCGTCGATCAAAGATCGACAGTAGGGTCCACAACTCTACGTAACTCAATCTGGAAGATCCGCTTCTCGGATTTCCAATTAGTAACTTCCAAAGATCCACATTATGTTTCTGAAACATCATCCTAAAATTTCATTATAATCCAACGGTTGGATCTCCGCCAATTGCAAATTCAAGTGGCGGTTAACGTTTTATTTTACGAAGTTACAAATCCAATTCGGGAAGCCATCGAATTCTCGATCCATAAGTTCCTATGATCTTCAAATATTACGTACTATAACATATTAAATTTTGATAACAATCCAACGGTTGGATTGTCGATTCATATTTTTACCAACTAACGTACCTTAATCAAACTAGATTCACAATAATCAAATCACATCATATAGATATCAAATCTAAGATCAACTGGCCACGCACCGGCCGCCCTGACTCGCTGGAAAATTCAACTATTTCTAAAAATTCTCAAATTTTATAGGAATGAAGATCTCAATGAGTGGAGCAACTTTCATACCTGTGACTAAGGCCAATTTGACCAGAAAAAGCCCCAATTTAGCTCGAACTGTATGGAACCCTAAACTTGGGTGTGTTCAATTCAACCTCCAAATTCACTCCAATGCCTCAAAACATTGCTTGGGCTTTGTTCCTGGGGTTGAGGGGAGCCTAGTGGTGGTGGTAATTTGCTGGGTTAACTTCACGATCGTTGGATTTTGCCATGGTACCCATGGAACCCACGGGTTTTGTTTTACTCGAATTCAAACTCAAACCCAATAAAATTTAGTTGGAAATGGAAGAGGGGAAGATAAGGATTAGTAATGGAAGAGGGGAAGATAAGGATTAGTTTTTACGTGATGGTGAGGGTTAGATCGCCGAAAAACCGACTGAAAAATGTTGGGAAGGCGGCGGTGTGGGTGGTGCCCGACGGGTTACACGGGCCAACCTGTGTCCCCCCCCCCCCCCCCCCCCCCCCCCCCCGCCCAACAACAAAAAAAACCTTTTCTTCTCTCATTTCCCCTCCTTGCTCCTGTTTCTAATTGATCACCTTCCTCTCTCCTTTCCTCCCTTTTCTTCTCTCTTTCTCATCCCAGACGTCGATTTCTTTCTTTCCTTCCATCCCAACCACATACGTAGCCTCACAGATCTTTGCTCCAGAAATCTGGAGCCTTCCAAGTTAAGTAAATTACCAAAATATCTTTAACTTTAAACGTTAATAACTCTTCTGTTATAACTCCAAATCATGCACTGTTTGCGCCCACACATCCGTAGCAATGAGTACTACAAGAATACGCTAAGAAAACGAACCTTATGTAACATGACACGACAGTCAACAAAAGTCAACACTTTGTCTCGAAGGGCATTTTCGTAACTTCACTTATTAAAATGATAAAAATCATAATTTTTAGGAACGGGCTGTTACACTAGGGAGATGGGCACATAAACAATTTCATTATCTTTTATTAGAATTTATAACTAATGACAATATTTCTAACTCCGTCGATAAAAGGAATTTCAATTTCTTTGATACTTAAAATGTTTCAGTAAACTCCAAGGTTTAATAAAATTTTGATTTTCTTGTGTTTCAAGTTTCAAGTCCATTTGGTGAATTGTTTTGCACTAGCTTTGGGCATGTAAAGTTAAGGGACATGGAAAATGGATATTATTTGCACTCCAACCCAAACAATGCCTTTCATTGCATTATTTTCTTCCTCAAAATTCTTAGTCACAAAATCCTCCAAACAAAAACAAAATCCAAAACAAAACAAAAAACCATCCTCATATTTTACAAATTCCTTCAATCTCCAACAGCCCGTTGACACATTCCTCTCTCTTGAAATATTTCTTGATGAATGTAAAAGTCCCACATCGGAAACCTGACTACAGTGTTGAAGGGTCAATAAATTGCATCGTCATCTTTGAAAATCTCGGCGGATATAGAGCTGAATTCAGCCTCCTTGTTATCAACGTTGTTTATGGTGATGTTGCTTCAACATATCTGCCAAAGAACCCCATCCATTCTTACTATTCTTGCTAATAGACTCAGCATCATAAGAAGAAGAAAGAGAAATCCCATAGTTGTGTCGATCCTGGGATTCTTGGCGGTGCTTCGGGGTACTTAGCGACTGCGTCTTTGCCTTGGCAGATGCTGTCACAGCCATGTAATGTTGATCATGAACAGAATTGTTCTGTTCCGCTTCTACATTGCAAAATGATCTCCTTGGCAATACCAGAACTTTTGGGGTCGGTCTTTCCACTGAATCTTCATTTCTCACATGTCGCGGTTTAACTTGTGATCTCCCAAACAATGCTCCAGTACTAGCACTAAGATTTGAATGAAGGATTAGCGTTCCAGTTTCATTGATGCTCGCTGAATCTTCTAACATTTGCACATTTCTGCTTTCCTGCAAAACACAATAGTTATACGGACTTTCAAATTTGCTGTGGGTTTTCCTTTTCATTGTATATTCTCATCTGAATCAAGATGTTCAGATAATTTAAGCTGAAAAGTACGTTTACTTACCCGTAGAGAAAAAGAGTATTTCTTCATCCTATCTCTTTTGGTCATAGCCTCTTGCTTTCTTAGCCGTACGGATTCCATGTCTTCCTGTGAAATTATACTGAAATCCCACCCTCTTTGGCTGCTACATTGAAGCTGTCCATAACAAACATCTTGCGTAAATCAAACAATGTGGAGGCGTCATAAATTAGTATCATGAAAAGGAATAATTATTTGTAGATATGAAGAAATAAATTCTCACTTACTGGTGTTTCATTTTCTTCCCACTCCCTTTTTGTCTTGCTGATCAGCTGTTTGTTTTCACCATCACTACATATCTCGTGTGTAGTAAGAATACTCCTTTGGCAAACCTCTGCCTGCCCCTCATTTCCTTTTCTCTTGGACGGCAAACGCTTCAAAGTGGTAGCTGCTTGTCGTTGTCTCACAGCTCTACCACGAACAATTGCTTGAACTCTTACGAGTCCTTTCAACGCTCGCAATGCTTTCCTTGCCTGTTTCACTCAAACTTTAGACCATGCTAATTTCTAGAGAGGATCTAATGGTGATTTCTCAATAACGATACTTATTTCAAATCCACCTTTCATTTAATTTTCCCATCAAATAAATAAATTCGAACGAATGGTTATAAAAATTCATAGTACACATTGACTACTCATGCATATATTTCAAGTTGATGAATCTGAGTTTATAGTTTTGAAGAAGCTCACAAGATGCGCGCGATAAACGCTTTGAATTTTAATGGCGGCCAAGTTCCTGTCAAACTTTGTGTGATAGTTGCGAGATTTTGAAGTAGTAGTAAGGCGCACAACCTCAGCTGCAGCACGGGCAGCAGCCACTGCTGCCTCTGCTGCAGCAGCGGTTGCAATTGCAACAGTGAAAGCATGTCTTTTCTGCTCTTCAGTTGCTTCACTGAGCAGTACTGCTCTCTCTGATGATGATGCTGTGATCAGTGCAGGCTGTGCAGGGTACTGCGGAAGTACCTCCAGCTTCCCGAAAATCCATTTCCAGTTCTTCGATTTCTGGTGATTAATTAGGAAACAAAAAATATTTAATGACAACCAAATTAAAGAGGATCACAACATATGTGTAAATAATTAAGCAGTAGTTAACCTAATTAAGGCAATGAAGGAAGACTGAGAAATAGAATTCAATTCACCAACCTTTCGTGTCTTTGAGTTTGCTTCAGAAGTGAAGAGCTTCTTGACCCAACCAAACCAGCACTTTGTCTTTGCCATTGAACAAGTAGTAAGACCATCTTAAATCTTAATCCATTATGATGTCAAGCATCGTCGTTTATTTTTCAGGCGCTAACCACTCGCTGGAGCACTAATGTAACTAGATAAATACATATATATGTTACTAATTTGTGTGTATATTAAGGTACGTAGCAGGTACGTGTATAATACAAAAAATTAAGGAACATGAATATGTAATACATAATGAATCATGACGTATGCACTTGAAAGATTCTAGACTCATAATTCTTCTGTCATGATGCTAAAAACTAAATTCACAGGTCCAAACCTATTAAAACGTACATCAATCAACTTAAATGCATGAACCGTGATACTTCAAGTAGGTTTTCCATGGTGTCTTTGCTTCAAGCCTTCAATCACTACAACTAACAGCATACAGAGAGAGAGAGAGAGAGAGAGAGAGAGAGAGAGAGAGAGAAACTGTACAATGGCTGCTGCAGGTACTTAGACGTTGTTAGTTGACGAAGACCGATGACTCATAACAGCAGCAGGTGCGGTAGTTTAAGAAGAAGAACGAGTCTGCTTAACTTCACTGGGGTCCTCTCTCTCTCCCTCCCTCTCCACCATCAACGGTCAATTCAACAACCACCATTGACGAGTCCTAATGTCTGCTTTCATGAAATTACCCTAGCATTAGTTATAATGACGTTAGAAAGTCTAACATGTGCGAGGCCAAAGGTCTATGGAAAATAATGATGGTTTTGGTTTGGTCCACTTATAAGTACAACCTGGATAGTGGATACTTTATATTGCATGAATTCCTCGACCACTTTTAAAGTTTTTAACATATTACGTAACCCTCTATTTATCTCTTGCATTCCCAGATAATATAGTGGCAAACCTAGCTAAGAATCTGTTCTCAAGCTTGAGTGGCATTGATATGGTTGAAAAATACAAGAATTATGCGTTAGAAAATCGACAAAACAAAATATGACATATTGAGCAGATTTGGTTGTAGTTACACTAAGCGTTTTGTGATAAACTGTTTACAAATAATGTACTGTGCACATAATAAAATATAAGTATCCAATGCTTGGCCTACTCTAAACTACTAGTTTAACTCATTATACTATCTTCTTTCACCATTGAACTAATTTGAAGGACTTGATTGTGTAGACATTTTTTGTATATTAGAAAAAACACTTCATATCAACTTTTGAAAGGATTTATTATCAATTTTTACAAAACTTTGGTCGGAAGAATGGATTAAGTATTTTCATAACAATGATATACAAATTGCACCTATAAATTAAGTCTATAATTAAAAGGATCGGTCCCCCTCCCTTCCCTTTAATTCTGCATGTAATGTGACACCATATGTGAGGTGAGTTTTGACTTGTCAAATAAGAACTTTCGTCACAATCCTAATCCTCCCACGTGTGACCCGGGCAAAAGTGACACCAAAATAGCTTTTGAGCTGTTCAATTTTCCATGATTTAAGACTTTTATCAATGCAGAATTTTTTGCAACTTTTGCTTAGATTGGGCTCCAATGAGTTGTCCTAATAAAAAATAAAATGACGTTTTTTGTAGATAAAACTGAAAAAGGAAAAGTATGAGTTTTTGAAACATGGTGGCTATTTTCTCAACATCTATTTTTTTTCATATAAAAACAGCCATGCAGTTAGTGAGAATTTTATTAATGTTGTTCAAATTCATAAAATAATCGAACTTAAGATCATTTTTAGAAATTGTTATAGACTAGATTATTAACTAAAACACTTTTTTTAGAAGTTCACTTTTAAAACTGAAATTTTATTTTCATTTTAATTTGCAATGTGTCAGATTATTAATTGGCTCGATACATTGATTGAAACACATACATCATTGATATTTCATTTCCCCTATTTTATTCTTGCCGACTGTTGCTTTAGAGAAAAGATAAGTAGCCCATATTAAAATCGAACCGCTGCTAAAGATATCTTTATTTATGTATCCTTTAAAGAAGCTGTTTTATATACATGATAAGATTTGGAAACATGAGTCAAACTAATCATCAGTTTTAGGAGGTTGACCCATGTAAGCATGAAAATATTAAATTGAATATGAATATGCTACCAAAAAAAAAAAAAAAAAAAAAAAAAAAACACCTCGTCAAACAGATAATTCCTGTCGGTTATACGCTACTTTTGTCGTTGAAGGCTTTAGACAATGGAAGTTCGTTGGAAAAGAGTAGTTGGGCAAAACCCGTTGTCTAAAACCTTGAACGACAAAACCACAATCCCGAGTTATTTAAAGCAGTGTATTATTGTCTACACTAAAGTCGAATTCATCGTTTTCATAATTTCTAAGTTATTTAGAGCAGTGTATTATATTATCTCTTAATCAGTTACCTAAAAGGAGAAAAGAATGAAGCATGTCATAATAGCTACATGCATGCACAGCCTGCATTTGCCAACAATATTGATGCATGCATTTCTTGATTCGTGAATATTCAAACTTCTAAGTGGCACGTTAATATAATCTTAACCCAGCGGTATTGGAAGCGGCTGAGCATTTGCTTTATGCTTTCAGCTTAAGGGACAGAAAAGAAATAAGAGAACCAACAATATATTTAAGCAACCTTTTTTTCTTTATATTTCTTTATGTTGTTTTTTTAGACTAAACTTTTTGGCTAATTGATTTAAATATTTTTGTACATGTGAACCAATTATGTAAGTGGTCCACTAATTCTTTGCTTTCTACAAAGGCAGCATTTTTTTACTGCAAAAATATTGAAAATGAAAAACAAAAAGGAAAAATAATACACTTTGAAGCATTGAAACATATATAACAGAAAAAGATTAATACAGTTTATATACAGAGACATACAAATACGGTTTTTTGCAAATATCGGGTATTATTTTTTTCATTATTTTACTCTTTCTGTTGGTAGTAGCACTTAAAATTAAAAGGGAAAAGTTTTCGAGGACTCAATACAACTTCACTATTTACATTCCCATTCTCCATTCTTATCCAAGATTTAACAGAGAAAGGCTGATAGTTGATTTCCACAATTCTAGCTCGCCATTCTTATCCAAGATTTAACAGAGAAAGGCTGATAGTTGATTTCCACAATTCTAGCTCGCCTGTCGTAGTTTCCATACCCGCGATAACTGGTATGCCTAGCATAACCTACCCACAGTTTTTTATAGGGGCAACACCAGGCTAATCCATGGCTGCGTCGTACAAATATTGCCTACCACAACCCCAAAGAAAATTTAATCAATTTAACATAAAGTTGTACATACGCTGATCAAGTACCATCATCTGACTGTATCCTACAGTTTCTCCATTCTATAAGTTGTGTGACTTGATTTAGATAGAGGACTGCAGGCGGGAAGGAATATAAGCGTTTAGATATATTAGCATATAAACAAAACCTAAGGGGCGAGCTAGGACAAGATGGAGAAAGATACAGAACTTTAACTTTAGGAAGACTGCAAGAAGATTGCAATTTTCATGCTTTCGCAATGTACGATTGTCGATTGGAAGGATCACGACTGAGTTTGTCTGAAATTTAGAATAGATACAGAACATTGACTTTAAGGAATCAGCAATATGATATGCTTCTATTACTAATGATTTATTAACGAAACATACGTTTCCTAATGAAATTGACATAGAAAACAAATATAATTACTTCTCTCCCGTTCTGGTGAGAGCACTTCTCTCTCTTTGAGAGTTTCTTCCGCCGTCTGTGCGAGTCTCACTTCCGTTTCCAGTCTCCCTCTTGTTGCCGGCCCTAGCTATGGCTAGGGTTGGTGGCAACCTCCTGTTTTTTCTTTTTCTTTTCTTCTTTTTGCGTTTTTCCCTGCTTTCGTTCCCGGTCTCTCGTCCTCCATCCCCTCTTCCTGTCAATTTTAGCAATCTGAGCCCCAAAGTCCAATTCCTTTCGATCCTTCCATCTTCTTCTCTTCTCACTTCGTTTCCTTCCATCCTTCTCAGACCACTTCGCTCCCTCCCCTCACGAAACCACGTTGTGCACTCCCATCTCTTTACCATGGTGTGTCACGGGTTTATGATAGAGTTCTATAAAACAACAGAGCAGAGCACATAACTAAGAAGAATTCAACAAGATTTTGATTTCAACCAAGAATTCACACGAAAATGTTGACGCAGAGAAGATGAAGAGCTCTGTGAAAAATTCTGATTTCATTCAGCTATGACTGAAATGATTAAGAAGCTACAAACTAGAGTGGGGAGGAGATATAGCCGTTTGAGGCGCACTACCTCTCTCATTACACCACAGCTCACGTGAATCCCACATGCTCACATATAAGTGAGATGTTATACCATGAGACACACATACATATAGCCTATTAGTTTTGATTTAATCTCAGCCTTACATTTCAAAAACTAAGACAAAAGAGACTTTGAATTACAGAAAGACAGAATGCAACAAAACACAAAGCAGCTGCAAGGCTTAAACATCAACACTCTCCTCTAAGCTGGCAGCTGACTTTACTCCTAGCATTTCTCTGAAATAGTTGAACTTCTCATTTGGTAGTGCCTTTGTCAGGATATCTGCCATTTGTTCTTCGGATTTGCAATAAACAAGTTCAATCTCATTCTCTTGTATTGCATCTCTGATGAAATGGAATTTCCTGCTAATGTGTCTTGTTTTCTAATGAAACACAGGATTCTTGGCAATAGCTATTGCTGAAGTGTTATCACACATTAGCACAGTAGGTTCAACTTGTTCTTCCCCGAAATCTTCCAAAACAAATCTTAACCATTTGGCCTGAGATGTTGCTCCAGCAGCACTTACATATTCTGCCTCTGCAGTGGATAAAGCTACTGTGTTTTGTTTAACTGATGCCCAAGAGAACACACCTGAGCCAAGACTGAAGGCATACCCTGATGTGCTTTTCATGTCATCAATACTCCCAGCCCAGTCACTGTCACAATATCCTATAAGAATTGTTGACTTTCCTTTTACATATTCAATGCCAAAATCCATAGTACCTTGAATGTATCTTAGTATTCTTCTTGTTGTTCCCATATGTTTCTTAGTTGGACCATGCATAAATCTTGCCAAGAGTCTAGTACCAAACATTATATATGGTCTAGTGGCAATAAGGTACAGAAGACTTCCCACCAATTTCCTGTATTCAGACTCATCTGCAGCTTCACTCCCATCCTTTTTGCATAACCTTTCATTTGCTGCAAGTGGTGTTCCCACAGACTTACAACCTTGTAGTCCAAATTTCTCCAACATTTTCATTGCATATTTCTTCTGGTGTATGAAGATACTTTTCTTGGTTTGAACAATTCCCATACCAAGAAAATGATGTAGCAATCCCAAATCAGTCATCTCATAATGCTGCATCATGTCATTTTTGAATCTGTCAAGCATTGTGTCACTACTCCCAGTGTACACAATGTCATCAACATAGACAGAAACTATGAGAATTCCTGACTTTTCAACCTTA